TTGTATTTTCAAAAAAAAATAAAATATTACTTAGTATTTGATTCAATTTCAAAACCTCGTGTTTGATATTTTTAGCACATATATTTGTGTTATACACTGAGATATACAAAGAAGAAAAATAAAAATTTGATATACATTTTAATGTACACAAAAAAGAAAAATAAAGTTGTGATATACATTTTGATATATGTTATTTGATGTGTTATACATTGTGATATATAAAATATAATACATTTGGATATGGAGACAATAATAAATTATAGACAACTATATTTTTAATTTATATTTTAGATATACAAAGAAGGAAATAAAGTTGTAATATACGTTTTGATATACACAAAGAAAGAAAATAGTTTAGTGATATACATTTGTTATAAATGTTATTGTTATCATATATAATTATTGACTACATGATACTAATATTTATAACTAGGATTTTTTATTGCTAATTATGGGAGTACGTTGTTACACCATGCCAAAACCCCTACTTGATTGGAGCCAAGTTTTGGACTTAAAATCAAGCCCATAACAGGCCTAACCAGATATGGGGCCTAACCAAATATAGACGCTAAGCCATACATAAACCTGATAGTAAGGCCCATAAATAGTCATAGTTACCAAATATGGTATCACGCATTTATAGAGATTTTTTTGTTTTGAAGAATTAAATTAAATAACCTCCCACTCAACTAATTGAACTAAAAATAGTCGAAGGATGTATAAGATATATGTAATTCGTGACCTGTGAGCATGTGATTCTAGTAATCGCCATGTCTAAGTTTTAGGTGAAAATAGCATGGGCTAGCCAGTTTTTGGACTACTAATTGAAAATAGCCATCATTTGCAAAGTGATTGAAAAATAGCCACTATTTTATGTGAAGATAAAATCTGGACAAAAGTACCCTAGCTGAAATACAGAAAGTTTCAGTGCTGGATTGTGGAGCTCCTGCGTATAAACTTCTGACATATTATGTTGGAAGTCCAGCACATTATGAAAACTCCAGTACATTATGCTGGAATCTCATATGTAAAATATTTAAACTCCACCATATTATGCTGAATATTTTTCGGATTTTAAGTGTGTTTTTGTTAAGATTTTATCTTTACATGAAAAAGTGGCTAAATATCTATTACTTTTGAAACCGTGACTATTTTTCAATTATTTCTGATTTTTTTTCCAACTTTTCGACATTAGCAGATAAATATTGGAAAATATTGCAGTGTGTTGTTATAAAAGCGAAAGGATATGATATTATAATTTGGAAAAATGACATTGTATAGCTGCTCTCAAAATAATAGTCGATATATATATATATATATATATATATATATATATATATATATATAAAAAATATATATATTTTTATATATATATATAGAGAGAGAGAGAGAGAGAGA